GTGCCCATCAGTAGTCACAGCCTCTCCCGCTGGAAGTTGCAACTCTTGCCTCACACTGAGTTTCCATCTCTGTGTGTCTCATGCAGTAATGCATGGCTGTGCCCTCAACTTTCTAGCTATTCATCTATAGATAAACAGTGCTTTCTTTAATTTAAATTATTTTATTGTTGTTCAATTACAGCTGTTTGAATTTTCTACCCATTACTCTCTACCCCCACCAAACCAACCTCCCTCCCTTGCTTTCACCCTGTTTTGGTTTTGTCCATATGTCTTTTAAAGTAATTCCTGAATACCCTTCACCCCACTATCCCCTTCTACCTCCCCTTTGGTTACTGTCAGATTGTTCTCAATTTCAATGTGTCTGGTTATATTTTGCTTGCTTTTTTTCTTTTGGTGACTAAGTTCCAGTTAAAGGTGAGATATGGTATTTGTTCCTCTCTGCCTGACTTATTTCACTTAGTATAATGCTCTCCATTTCCATCCATACTGTCAAAAAGAATAGAAGCCCCTTCTTTCTTTCTGCTGCATAGTATTCCATTGTGTAAATGTTCCAGAGTCGTTACATCCATTAGTTTACTGATTGGCATGTAAGTTGCTTCCAGCACTTGGCTATTGTAAATTGTGCTGCTATGAACATTGGGGTGCATATGTTCTTTTGGATTGGTGTTTCAGGGTTCAAATCCCTAGAGTAAAATTGTTGGGTCAAAAAGAAGTTTCATGTTTAGTTTTCTAAAGAAACTCCACACTATTTTCAACAGTGGCTGCACCAGCTTTCAGTCCCACCAACAGTGCACTAAGATTCCCTTTTCTCCACATCCTCTCCAACATTTGTTTGTTGATTTATGATGGCCATTCTTACCAGTGTGAAGTGGTATCACATTGTGGTTTTAATTTTCATCTCTCTGATGGCTAGTGATGCTGAGTATGTTTTCATATGTCTCTGGATCCTCTGTATGTCCTCCTTGGAGAAGCGTCCGTTCAAGTCTTTTGTCCATTTTCTAATTGGATTTTTTGTCTTCTTGGAGTAGTTGTATGAGTTCTTTATACATTTTGGAGATCAAACTCTTGTCCAAGTTATCATTTGCAAATATGCTTTCCCATATTGTTGGTTGACTTTTTATTTTAATGTTGTTTTCTGTAGCCATGCAGAAGATTTTTTAATTTCATGAGGTCCCATTTGTTTATTTTTTCCTTTATGTCCCTTGCTTTAAGGGAGATAAGCAGTGCTTTTGAAATAATCACTTGAAATAGTTAAACTGACATTCACTAACGCAGTGTATTCTGTTGTGTGAGTGTTGGCTTGTTTTCAAATAACGCCTATCCACTCCAGTCTCTTTCCTGGAGGCTGGATGATCCAGGTTATGGAATAGTCACTGAAACTGAATCCAGAGCCTTTGCAAGAGAATTTCAGATTCCAGCAGTCTATCTCAAGTACTCCTCAGATTCCATCAGCTGCACATCACCTCAGATGCCTGTAGACAACTCTCTCATTAGAAGTACACACACATTCGCACACTCAAACCCCAGTTTATTCATAATGTTACATGTGAAAACATCAAAACCAGTTCCAGCTCAGCTCAAACTTCATGGTGCTTCCTCTGTGTTAACTGCTGAAGTGAGTGCAAACAGCAGAGACTCAGGAGCTAGGGCTGCTCTCTCAGGTGCAGGCTCAGTCACAGGGCTTAGCTTATCAGCACATAAAGCACACCATCTCCATTTAGTCCTCCTATTAGGGAGACTTAGATGAAGTCTGTGAGCAAGAGAACCTACTTGATTCAGAGGGACAAGCATTCTGGTTGTTATAGTGAAAATTTTATAAGAGGATGGTTAAGTCTGTGTGCCATAGAGTTATTGTTGTTGCTAATTTCTTCCATTGATCAGTTTAACATAATTTAATTTACTGAGATATTCCACCTGCACAGTATTCCATGCTATTCACCTCAGAATAAATGTCCTTTGCAAACTTGTCCATGTGTCCACACACAAAAGCAGGTTTGTTGTAGACCGTTCTGCCTGGTTTAAAGAATTGTATCTCAACCCATCCTGGCTAAGAGCAAGGGACGACCTTTGGGATGCCAGCCCCAGGAGACAAAGCCTCTCTTTGGTAGCAAATGCTGCCTCAGTTTTCTCTCTGTCCCCAAAGCTTGGTCGGAAGTCAATGACAGGTAAAACCCCTCACAGCGGGGGGCAAACTAAGCCAGACTCCATCACTTGGGAGGCCTTCATGAAAGGACTCAGGGGGCTGCAACAAAGAAGATTGGACTCTCGCTCCCCGGCTTTGACATAACCCAAGTCCCCATGTTCTCTGGGAGAAAAGCTCCCTGACTCTAATCCCCTTAAGACTGAATACCTGTTGGGAGAGGTGTAGCTCCTTGCTTTGCTAGAGCATGTCCAGGGGGAAAATATGTCATCACAAAGACTTCCTGATAAACCTGTGAAATCTGCTCTGCTAAGATTGCTTTTATTCATATGATAAGGGTCCGAGAGGAAATGAGTATGTCTCCCAAAGTTTCTGCAACTCTTTTCCTGACAGACACTGACTCAGACTCTGAAGCCCTCACATTTCTTTGAAATGTTATCTGCTGTTTCATACTTGCTGTCCTGTATTCCTATTACAACCCAACAAAAGGCTATGGAGCAGGGGGCTCGGGGCCTTTGTCTCCCCTGAGAAACTGGCCGCTAGCCACTTCTCCTCCCCAAGCAGATCACATCATGTCTCGGCCATATTCACTTTCGTCCATGGCACCAGGGAGGACTCGCGAGGAAGTCGCTCTCACAGATGTTCATCCCCATCATCAGCTTCCTGGGTCTGAGGGCAGTGGACAATGCAAGGGCTACTCTTTGTGCTTTCAAGACAGAATCTCTGCCCATTGTGCATCTGTGCACTGAGAGTCCATCAGTGTTGAGAAAGGGAGTGGGAAGAAGAAACAAACACATGTACAGCGTTTTACCTGCCCTGGATATACTCTGTGCCTAGCCACTTCTTTTCTCCGCCCAATGATTTACCAACTGCCTCCTCAAGTTACTGACATGCACACCACACAAAACCACTAATACATAAAAGGATACTATATTCCAGATTCCACACTGTCATCATTATATACAATATCTGGGAAGTTTGAAAACATGACATGCTTAGTTAAAATGATCAAACCTAAGTGAACCCTTTAACACCCTTGGCCAATGCTCCTCCTGAGTGTTGCTTCTGTCCAAACCTTCAGGGACACATCAGCCATGTCCATGTGACATGGTGACTGGGAGAACAACAAATTTCACCTCCAGGGCAACCTCACTCTATGCCGATGTGGTAAATACTGAAAGGGTTCATGGATTAAACTCACTTCTAATGCTGCCTTCCTGCTACATTTGTTTAGGAGTCTCCCATAATGTCCAATCAGAACATTTTTATCTGTGGAAAAAAATATCAGAGAAACACTGCCCTGGAACGTCACTGAAAGAACACCCATGAGGTACCTTTTACAACACAAACTGCAGTGAAACTCTAGACAGTCAACCCATGTGGTCATGTTGCACTACAGTCCTAATTTATTCTGGTTGCAGTAACAAAGTCCTGTGGCCTGGAACACTGGTCGAGAAAAGAAATCTATTACTCACAGTTCTGGATGTGAAAAATCCAAGAATAGATGCTGGCCATTTAGGTGACTGGTGAGAATCCACTTCCTAGATGGCTGTTAACTCTAATCTCAGTGGACAGTTGGGGCAAGGCAGCTTCCTCAGTCCTCTTTAATGAAGGCCCTGACTCCATTCATCAAAGCTCCACCCTGGGACCAACCCTTGTCCTGAGGCCAGGCATTCTAACACCATAATATGAGTCTCAAATTTTAATGTGTGAGATTTTGAGTGACACAATCACTCATAGCAACACAAAAGGAATCAAACCATGTTTCTGTCCAGTTGGAAGACCACTTCAGCAGATCTCCCCAAACAGGATCCCTATAGTCCTGTGGAAACTTCTCATCTTTGGAAATAGAAAAGGAATACAAGTCCTTCAGACCAAACTGAATATCTTGTATAATGAACAGGTTCCAGCCTAAAATTTGAGCTAAGATGTCCACATAATTTATTATTATTTTACCTTGTTGCTTACATATCACAATTATTCTCATTTTCTAGGAGCTGAATTTGTTTTCTACCCACACTAGTTGTTTGCTCCATGTTCTCACTAATGATTCCTAAGAGTTTGATGGAATAAGAAGTAAGGATCATTTTTTATTATGTTGGATGCTGTCATAGTAAGATTCATCCCTCTCTCTCCTCTTGTACACAGGTGGGAAATATATAAAGAAAGTGGTTATTCTCTTTAGTTCCATACAGGTGGGAGATTAGAACCATGCAAACCCACCCTATGAGCAGTACCTTCTTCAACCTTGTCATGGATGAACAATAAGAGCCAAAACAGGCATCCTTACATGATGTGAAACAGCCATTCCTGACTTGCTGAAGTCTTCCCTGCTATCAACAGACTCCACAATGAAGTGGAAAACTATTTCATAGTCCATCTTTGTGTGTGACATCATCATCCTGGACACCTGTGGCAAGTTAGGGGGGAGATTGATCTACATGTGCATGATGTCAACTGCTATTGGTCATCATGAACATGGAGTCAGGTCAATACTGTCTCCCCCAGGGCACTTGTCCTCTGACATTGGGCTCATGAGCCTTTGTGCACATTGTTCAGCATGCATGCATCTGCTGCTGGCCAACATCGACTCTGAGCTGTGTGGGGCTGGGCTGCACTGTTGGGTCCAGCAGAACATCATGTTGGATTTCAGATGTGAATCATGAAGATATGATGATTCAATAATGATTCACTAGGATAAAATTAGGCAAATGTAGGTGACTTTCTGCCTCCTGTGCATGTGAAATGTTTTCCTTCTATTATAGCAAGCCTTTACAATTCACATGGTTAAGATGTCAGCACAGAATCATGAAGGAACTGAGGTTCTCTGAAACTGGTGTGTATTGAATTAACCCCATACCTGCCAGGATACCAAAAATTAATGTGCATTTGCAGCTGTTCCTGAAATGAACCCAGTGCTCAATGTGACCTGAGCGCTCCCTAGTGTCCTGAGTATCCTCTGCAGCCCAGCTGGTTTGTCTGCTCCAGGAAAGTTTGTGTCTGGGCTCACAGTGACTTTCCCTCACTGTGTCTCTTGCACAGTAATACACGGCCATGTCTTCAGCTCTCAGATTGTTCATTTGCAGATAGAGCTCATTCTTGCCATTGTTTCTGGAGATGGTGAATCGGCCTTTCACAGAGTTGGCATAGTATGTGCTACCACCATCACTATTAATTGCTGAGACCCACTCCAGCCCTTTTTCTGGTGCCTGGCGGACCCAGTGCATCGTGTAGCTACTGAAGGTGAATCCAGAGGCTACACAAGAGAGTCTCAGAGACCCCCCAGGCTTCACCAAGCCTCCTCCAGACTCCACCAGCTGCACTTCACACTGGACACCTGCAAACACAAAAATATTAAGTCAATAAACTCTTGCCCATCCACCTTATCTTTCAGACGTATCCACTCACATACTCAGTGTCTCCCATTCTCTAGAGATTACCTGTTAAAACAGTAACAAGGAAAACCCAGCTGAGCCCAAATATCATGGTGAGTGGTCTGTGTTCTGTCCTGACGAGACTTCAGGAACACCTGGGAATCCAGGGATGGGATCCTATTTCAGAGCTTCAGGCTTTGGTCTGGGCTGCTTTTCATGAGCAGAGGCACCCTATTTGCATACCCTCTTACTACATAGGGAGATCTGGGGCTGGATGTTGACCTGAAGGACATAGTCCCGGAGTGTGACATATCTAAGGACACATCTCTGTTACCAGTTACTCACCACATTTGAACTTGTACTGGTCCATGAGATGTGTACATGACCAAGGAGAGTGAATCATCATGAATGAGAGGTTTTTAAAATAAGCTATGCCTTTCAAAGTCAGCAGTAATGAACACACCAGGAAAATTCGATGCTCATGACCACAAGGAGCATTAAAATTCCAGGAGGTTCCTGTTCTTGTCATGGGAAGTTCCATGTGTCTTACTTCCACTACAAAGCGATCAGACTATGAACTAAGGAGAGAGTGTGACCCTAGAGCTCGTGGACACAGTGTTGGAGGATATGGAGGGTCTGTGTGGTTCTTTTGGAGACAGAAGTGGGAACCCTTCACAGAAGTGGGCAGTGTGGCCTGGGAAATATTTTTCTAGTGGAGTTTGGTGCTGAAAATGCAGAATGTTCACGGCCTCATTTTTGTTTTCTTTTCCTAGACTCTGGGAAAATTAGGTGCAAATATTTGGGATGCAGAAGAAAATCAGTCATAAGAATGTCTTCTTATGTGAAGATTTATGTAGAAATTAAGGAGGAAATATGTTGAAATTTTAGGAATTAGATTACATAAAAGTTTGGTGAAAACAACTAATAGAAAATAACATGTATAAATAAAATCACAATTTATATGAAGAGCATTATTTTCTTTATCCTTTGATTACAGGATGAATAAATAATTCAAATAACCTCCCATTACTGGAGCTGGTGGATCTGACTTTATGTTAAACTATTCATCATTGCAGGTTCAGCCTGATGCTGTCTATTAGGATCTGTGTTTACATGGATGTTCAATTCAGCTGTTATCAGGGACCAGGGGAAGGAGTATAATGAAGTCCTCTGATTCTTTGACAGTTAATTTCACAAGAACCATCTCCTGTCTCTCACAGTCTCTATTTATGTCTGCATGTGATCCATGGGAGTGTTTGACCATGGCCACACATAATGGGCATCCTCTGAACTTGAACCTGATGTAATGACAGTATCAATGTGCAAAATGGAAAACAGTACTCCATGCATGGTGATTAATTTACATGGATGGTGAGCGAAGCTGGTTTAAACTGACAGTTTTACACTGACCTCTAGAATGTACAAGACAAATGTGTGTACATTGCAGCACCAGGTGTGTGATCATTGTTTCACTTGACAAAGGAAGATAGTACAGGCTAAATATGAATCTTCCATTGTCAAAGGCGTCCCTATGATGCTCCTTGCTGTGTGAGGGCATCAGTACTATTTCAGAGACAGGGCACTCATAGGCCTTTGATCTCATGTGAGGAGAAGCCACAGAAGCTCACCCTGAGGGAGGGCTGAAAGAAGGCTGTGATGTCACAGAGTGTGCCAGATTTTGGACTTTGCTGCCAGAATGTCATCTGTGTGATACTGGGCCATAGACAAGAACATAAAAATTCCCATTTACTTTCATGTACTTACTTTTCCCCAAGTACAATTCCAATTTTCAGAAATAAGTAGATATACTAGAACTTGCTTGGCATAACCTTGCCCAAATACCCAAAGGTAACACTGACCAAGGATTCCCAGATAGCACCTCAAAGAAACATTTCATTCAGAGTACAAGGAGGCTCCAAATGTGCCCCCTGCACAATGACAACAAAGAACAGGAGCCCTTTCTTTAGCACCTTCCCTGCCTCTACCCTGCTACGTATCTGGTCTCCTGAAACTTTCCCTGAGTTTCTGATGTGCCCATAGCAGCATCAGTCCTGGTCTCAGATTCTACCTGTGTGTGAGGAAGTCAGAAGGCCCATCACCCTTTCAAGTCCTCTGATCAGCCAAACTTCCCCACCCCTCATGGTCTGTGACACATTCAGCATATGGGTCATCACACTGTGTCTCTCACACAGTAATATATTGCCAAGTTATTGCCTTTGAGATTGCTCAGCCTTATGCAAGCTCTTCTCATGGACATGTCTGCAGGCATGGTGACATTGCCCTGGAACTTCTTTGTGTACTTTCTTCCACTATCATTGGGGTGATTCTCCCCATCCAATCAAGCCCTTTTCTCTGGACCTGTCACACCCAGTGCATCCAGTAGCCTGTGAAGGTGTATCTGAAAGCCTTTCAGGAGACATTCACTGAAACCCCAGGCTTCCTCACCTCACCCTCAGACTGCACCAGTTGCACCGGGAATTTGTCACCCATGGAGAGAAGATAGGAGTTTGTGGAAATGTACCTTGCCTATCCTTGGTCCCCTCATCAACACAGAGACTAAAGAGCCACTGTCACCAGGAAGTGGGCACTACAGCTCCAGTCCATGGTGAGGGCCTGTGCCATCAGGACTCCTGAAGGGGTGGTGTGTCCATGGTTGATGCTCTTAGGGTCCAAACACACTCATATTTTATCTTGTCTACCTCTCTCCTCTGAGTATTCATGAAGCACAGTGATTCATACCTGAAGTCCTTACCTGAGCTGAAAGAAGTTAGAGGACACAGAGACCATATTCAATGGGACTCTGATAGACCCAGCCCTAATCACTGTGTGAGGGTATGTGTCCCCTGCCAGGTCCTTACGTTCTATAAAGAAAAAATTCTCCCCCTGAGAAACAAACCCCCACAGGACATGCTTCTTATTCTTAACCCAAATTTGAGTGGCATAGAGATACCTGGGTGAGTCTGGCTTTGGTACATCAATGTATTATTATTGGGCCAGTGTGTCTACAAAACTCTCCACCTAGTGAGTTAATAAAATAATACCTATGTCCAGCTCCTTACAATTGAGATATAAAGAAGACATAGAAATGCCCTTATTGGCTGTGGTCCTCATGCCTTATACTTTTGTAAATTCTCTAATGGAATAGAGAGTTTAAAGTCAGCTCATGTCTGACTCTACTTCAGATGTTTTTTTTTATTATAAGAGGAGGATGCAGGACCTCAAAGAAAATTCCTCCCTAGCTCCCTCTCTGCCCAATCCTGGGTCTGTCGCCCTGAGCTCCTGGGTCTCCAGTGCCCCCTGCTGCCCAGCCTGGGTCCTGCAGTTGTGGGTCCTGTCTGGGCTCAGAGGGCATGGCTATCTCATTGGCAGTAGTTGAGAATTGAAGAAAATACCCTCACTTCAGGATGCTCCCAAAGAAACACAATGTGCTTTGACATCTCTAGGCACAAAGAACTGATCTTACTAAACCCCAGTCACTCTACAAGGAACCTACAGACAATGGCACTATTAGCCACCATGAATCCCCTTTCCTGGAGCTGCCTGATGCACTGCCACTGCCACCACTTCTGAGTCCGGAACTTCTTGGGCTTTTTGGAAGCCTCTAGTGTCCTCAGATTCCTCCGTTTTAAGGTCCCATCTGAGGACCCTACATGAGGCTCTAATCCCACCACATTTCGATTGCTCAATTATTCACACATACACACACAGTGATGATTTTCTTGGTAATGCTCTTGAAGTCTCCATTCTCCCCTGTTCCTACCATATGGGATGGACCTCGACATGAATTCTAGGCCTGATTGTTACTTGCTTGGTGAGTGAGGTCAACTGTGGGAGGGATAACCTGGCTTTTCTTCCTTTATCAATTCTCCATCATGCTGGTTGTCTTTCCTCCTGACCACCTGCCCTGAGAAACTCAGACCTCAGCATCCCACACAGAAACAGAACCACTGCTCAGTGACCCCAGCTGTACCTGTAAGGGGCTACAGGAACCACCATCTCCTCCTGCATCTGGGTTTCTGGAACCACTGTTGACATTCCTGCACTGATCAAGTCATCAAAAGTGAGGACTCAGGCCCTGCTGATCATTTACTCAGGCTCCTTTTCCAAGCTGGTCTTCTCTGGTGTCAGTCATGAAAGATCTGTGTGATGTTTCCCACATGGACTCCATGTCCTCCAATCCAGCAGCCTGGCAGGCACTGAGTTCTCAGTTCCTGGGACAGACAGGAGAATCTATTCTGGTTTTCACTTGCTGAGGAATGTGACAGGTGGTTTCTACATAAGAGAGTAAGAGAAAGTTCCTATTTCCACAGGTGTGGGGAGTTGTGCTAGATTTATCACAAGTTCTGTTGGTGTCAGTTCTGTGTGCCACCAAGTTACTGGAGTCACTGCATAGTTACCTTCGATGTTGATATTGTCATTATCATGTATTATTGCCCTAGGCACCTACATTTAGCAAACATACTTCTTGGCAAATATAAACGATATTTTAAGGATTCTTTATTTATTTATCATTAGAGGGGAAGGGAAGGAGAGAGAGAGAGAGAGAAATATTAATGTATGGTTGCCTCTTGTGCATCCCCTGCTGGGAACTGGCCTGCAACCCAGGTATTTGCCCTGAGTGGGAATCAAACCATGATTCTCTGGTTTGCAGGCCCTCACTAAATCCACTGAGCTACACCAGCCAGGGCCAAATATTCACAATAATTTATTTAGTCAAATACATATTTTTGTTTGTTTCAGTGTATGTACATCATGAATATTTCCACATGAAAGTAGGTAGCAGTTGGATATTATCTGAGATCAATATGGAGGAAAATCATTTGCAAGATCAATCACTGAGGACTTGTGCCCTTGGCTTGTCATCAGCTTATTCTGCTAACACTGTCACAGCGAGCTCTGATTCTACACATTACTGCTCATTCCACCTTCTGTGATCTATGAATCATCACAAAGCTCCCGGATTTTTAATGGTCATCAACAGACTGTCAAAGGGCACAGGGAATATCAGAAAACAGCTTTGCTATTTGTAGCATGACATTAATGGGATCCTCCCTCATGGTCACCGAGTTCCCAGTACTGTTTTAAGTAAACATACGAGTGAGCTGTCATGGGCACACTGTCTATGATAGGTACAATTGCATGCCTTCTTCTTTACACAGCATAGCTCATGGTCCTCCAGAGAAGCAAACAAAAA